ATATATATATATATATATATATGAAAAAAAACAAGAGCAATGCTTGGAACACCACTCTCCATCCAACACTCCCATTTTCATTGGGCCACGTTATGTTGGTTTCCAGAGAGGTCAACAATTCATGGCTAAGTAAGCTTAAGTGGCCCAAAAAAAAAGCATGTGTTGGCTGGACTGGAGAGTGCAATTGTTGTTGGGTTCGGTTGAGGGTTGTGGTTGTGGGCTTTTAAAATAAGAAATGGGGTTAATTTAAGGGTTGTTGGGTCAAAGCCCATTAGCCCAGGAGAAAACGGTCCAGCTTCTTCAACTGGGGCAAAAATGCTTACCTGAAATCGTAAAATCGCGATTTTGACAACACTGGCTGGGAGTGGCATTTTAGGTCTCGGGGCAGAAATTTTCTTTGTTGAACTTTTTTGAGCTTCCTGTTGTTGTTCTTCTTCTTCTTCTTTTCTTTTTCTTTTTTTTTTTTCTCCCTATAAATTCATGGCAAATATCCATTTTCAGATTGATCCAGCCCTATCCGACAGGTAGGCTTCTCGTGCTCCAACTTTTCATCTTCATCATGGGTGGAATATATACATGCTTAATTTGTTGTTTTGATCATTTTCCCTCTCATTTCTTCAATTTTTCTACTGTCTTGTTTTGTTGGTTGATCGGTTTTTTGAATATATCTTCCTTTATTTTTCTATTATTAGCAAAGGAAGGCCTGGATCTGCTTAAGTATTAATTGTTTAATGAGATCAGCTAATTATAATCTTCAGTTATTCTAGCGTGTTGTTTGTTAATTTTTAGTTGAATATTAAAGCTTACTTAATTTTCTATCATCAGCTAAGGAAGGCTTGGATATACTTAAGTATTACTTGTTTAGTGAGATCAGCTAACTCTAATGAATAATTTCCTACATTGTATCTGTCACAATGAAGGATTAATGGAAGAGGGAGGAAACAGAGGAGGACGAGGACGAGGACGAGGACGTCCGCCACTGCCCGAAGGAGAAAGGAAGACGAGGAAGAATAAACGTAATAAGGAAAGTCGCGCAACTAAAAAGGTAAATAAATTAATGTCCTTTCATATGTATTGTTGGGTAGTGAATAAGAATTGATGTCCAATATGTGTGGAGAAGAATTTATCTGAGTTGAGCCTTAATTCTCTCTTATAAAACTTTTTGAAGATGCTCTTTTACTGTATTATTGCTCTAATGTCCAGTTCTTCGTATAAGTCCTGAATGGACTGAGAGGACTTATTGCGTGCTTAAATTGATTCAATTGATTATTAGGAGGCCATTATAAACATACTTATATTATGAGAATTACTTTGAATGATTTTTCTCTATCAATCTCAGAAACTCTTAATAGGAATTTGAATGCATTTTAACTGTGGGAAGATTGTGGAAATTGATAAGGGAAATAAATACTTTATTATTTGATGAATTATTATTGGTCTGTTGGACAAAGGCATGTTTTGTGATACTACTTTGGCTAAAAGGTGTCATATCCCACCTTTAGTTATATGGCATTCCTTCATTACGGTTTAATTTCCTATATGTTCACTCTGCTTTAAAGCAAGCCAAGTGAAGGATGAGGTAGTAATGTACAAGCTTAAAGGAAGCTCCCATGGCTAGATGATAAGCCCTTGAGCTTACAGCTGAGTTTTCACCTTTCCTCTTACTCTCCAGTCCTAGGGCTGCAGCAAACTTTTTATCAAAGATTTTTGTTCTTTAATCCCACAACCTTCCAGCAACCCTAAAGATGTGGAGAAGAATTTATTAATCATTGATCTTGAGTCTATCCTCTTTTAGTTTGTTTTTTATTTTTTTATTTTTTATTATCTTTTTGGATGCATTAATTATGTCAGCATTTAAACGCTGACCTAATGGTTTGATTAAAAGAGGTCTTAGATATATT